GTGTGTTGCACCTCGAGCCAGCTCGGGCAGTAAAAGATTTATCACATGGCAAACTGCTCCAAGGTGACCAAGATATGGGAGGGCTGGGTGGAATTTGATCAAGTTGTCTCGAAATCATTGCCTTGCTTTGTAAGATTGTGGTTTGAAACTAGAAAGGCCTTCAAAAGTTTTTTACTTGGGCTTCCGTAGGAAAACCCGAGTCAAGGGGGTCATAGTCCCAGGCGTTCCATGCGTAGACCACGGAAACTGGGGACGAGAAACGCGACATTGCTCTCTCTACGTGACAGAACGCGGTGTTTTGCGAAGAAAGGTTTGGCGAGAATTGCGCCTTATACGTTCATCTTGCATACAAAGATGTCGATCGTTTTCGGAAAGGGTCGGTCTACGAATTATATCGCTTGAAAGGCAGCCAGGTAAGCAAAGGTCAAGCTCGAAACGTTCTCGTGAGATAACGACTGAGCCGATCGCGGTATGAGTTCAAACTACGAAAACACTGACAAAATAGGCAGTCAATGATTGCATGTGGCTACTGCTGGTATTATTTAGAACACTGCAGTAAAACAAATCATATTGCAATAAAACGAGCTAAATATGAAAACGATTTTGGACTGGTAGCTCATTAAAAACATGCGATTTGTTTCTTGCATCGCGCGAAATATGCTGATCTCCACATTTGTAAAGATAAGACTTTCGGTAACTTGAATTAAATATTTTATCTCCAAGTTAGTTGGCTTTTTAGTAGGGTGCACGAGAAAAAAAACATAACGTGTGATTTTGGAGGCAAATTGTGCGGGAAAATTAAAACTCCTATTGTGCGGGGAATTGTGCGGGTTTATTGACGAACCAAAGTTTTCTACATTGACGATAGTTTAGCCACATTTATTTCACTAGTAGTTCAAATATATTTATCAGTCTTAGTAATCGCCAATTCTTTTAGAAAACTGTGTCTGACTGCTTAAGAAAATCATGTTGCGTGACATGAACTAGACGAGTATGAAACCATGTTAAATAGCAAAACAGAATGCTGCATTTCCCCTTATAAATGGGTTCCTTTTTAGAAATACTCCTACCTTGATTCAATAAAAATATGTAGGTTAAATATTTAATCATAAACTGCGTTAAGGGTGGCAAATTCTCAAAGTTATCTGCAAAAAAGACAACTTGAAAGTTTATGCAAATTAAGTGCAATGCGCCTTGTCATAGGGCTATTGTTTTCGCGGAGGAGTTTATCTATTCCCCCTCCAAAGGAAATATGATTCGTGAAAAGGCTTTAAGATCGCAACACGGCAAAGATGTTTAGCTGCACAATTTACTCGGTTTGCCACGACCAGGAAACGAACTTTGTACAACTTCTGTCAGCATGTACAATGTAATCGCCAGAAGTTGTAAAAAGACCTCGAAAATTCTTTGCAAACAAGTTCTCCATAAGTGCGTAGACAGCTGTGCTTCATTCTTGAACCAAAATGGTTTAAACTCACAACTTGGGATTGGATTAGGATCCCTAATGAAGCAATTTGAATAGTTAATATCTAAGCGGAACTCTTGTGCAAAATATCCTGATTCTTTAATTTGTTTTTATTGTGTAAAGTACGATTTGATACTGCGGTTCGAAGCCCGAGTAAACGCTCTTAGAGCGTCTACAGTTTGTCAAAGCAATTGTAAAGCTTGGCTTACGAGACTAATCACTTCATCTGTATTTTAGTAATAACATTTAGAACACATTGAATAAACGAACTCAATAAACAATCATCAATTATTGTTATCATTTTTACTGTGAATTTTGTTTGTCTTTCGTTACTCATTTTTGCATCAACAATTCTGTTCTGAACGTTTGTGTCGTTTGTGGCGTTACTGATAAAAAAATATCTTTATCTCTTAGCTGGTGATCTTCTAAATTCTCATCAATTGTAACTTGAAAATGCATTGTATGGAGAAATTACTCGTTGATCACTTGTACCTGACTACAAGGCAGCGTGCGCAGATGGGAATGTGAAACTTTGTTTCCAGAGCCCGCACGTTTTCTGCCAGCGGTGACCGAACTTGCGACGCTCTTGACGAAACCAGCTACACAAAACAATCACGGGCTCTAGGAAAAAGACTGACTCTTACTTCAACCCCACGAAGAGTGTTTAAGAGCTGAAGCAAAAGACCCACATCTTTATCAACGCTAGATTTTCGTAGTCACTCACGTAACATTTTATTATCACCATCTTTCGATTCTCACTCAGTCTGAGGTCAGAAAAAGCACGCTTAGTATATCAGTCATAAGTCTTGTCGAAATCCTTGTAAAGGCGCCTCTGAATTTACCATGGAAATTGAGTCAAGACAAATACATCGACTTAGAATTACTGTTCGTTTCCGACACGATATCGATGTAATATTCCAGCTCCGTTGCTGTGGCATACTTCGGTTTTCTGTATCCATTTTGGCGTGAAAACCTCTCAGGAGACATTGTAGGTCGAAAAGCGTCGCACAAAACACGATATTGTTGCCAAGGTGGAATCATATCTTTGTCAGTTCTCTTCTGTCGCATTTGATCAGACCTTATCGACTCCGACGACTGTTTCAGGTGTGGAAACCGCGTATGAAATGGCGCTAAGTAATGTGGGCTGTGGTTAGAATCTCTATTTGTGGTGTTCCGTGGCGACGCAACGTTTCTATCGTTCTTAGCACTTTCAAAAAGCAAGGTGCGGACAGATGATTTCCGGGACATGTCGTTGGGAGTTGTCACGGGAGGCTTAGGAAAAGTGTCGCTACCCGGACTATGACAACTGCTTTGACCCTCGGCTTTTTGGTCATCGCTTGTTGCTTGTTCGAGCTTAAATGGAGGCATTTCATCGCTTTCAGTGACACTCTCTCCAACTTGAAATGATAAACGTTTTTTTGCACTGTTCACTTTTAACTCCGTAGAATTTGAAGAGCAACTTTTGAAGTCGTTCTCGCTTGAAGACGCTCTGGAATAGCCATCCTGAGGTTGGCCATTTTTGTTGGGATTTCTGTTCTTTTTGGTCCTGACTTTTTGCGACTCTTTGTGGCTTTTAACGACCAAAGTTACCTTTGTTGTTTTAGGCTTGAGTGGCATTTGAAAATGTCTGGGCTTTCCCAAACCGTAACGCCGGGTCTGTAATCTGCTCTGTTCGGTTCTGGCGGAATTTTGGCCATAAACTTCGCGTAACACTTTCTCCCTCTTTCCAGTCTCTTCGTCTGCAGAGAGGTATAGGACCTTACACCCAGAGCTCAGTTTTTCCATGTCGCTACGGTAATGGTGGAAATTCTGTATGTGTTCGTAGCAATGAGGCACCAGATTTTGAATCAACTCTTGCTGTTTCTTCCCTACCACAGGGTAAGCAATTCCATAATTGGCTTCACCATTACCAGGTATTTGTGTATCGTAGCATCTCTTCAAGTCCTCTTCGCCGATTGTCGGCTCTGAGCGAAATGAAATGGTACGAAACGCATCCTTCATTCTTTCAATAAACGATCTGTGTCTGCAATCCTCGAACTCTGCCACGTCGCGTTTCTGTGCCGAGATTGGTCCACGGTTTACTCCAAACGGGCAATCACTTTTCTTAGCGGATTTTTGAACTTTGGTTGTTAATTTTCGCCCTTGAAACGGACGCGTAGCCATTCACAANCAGCCAGGTAAGCAAAGGTCAAGCTCGAAACGTTCTCGTGAGATAACGACTGAGCCGATCGCGGTATGAGTTCAAACTACGAAAACACTGACAAAATAGGCAGTCAATGATTGCATGTGGCTACTGCTGGTATTATTTAGAACACTGCAGTAAAACAAATCATATTGCAATAAAACGAGCTAAATATGAAAACGATTTTGGACTGGTAGCTCATTAAAAACATGCGATTTGTTTCTTGCATCGCGCGAAATATGCTGATCTCCACATTTGTAAAGATAAGACTTTCGGTAACTTGAATTAAATATTTTATCTCCAAGTTAGTTGGCTTTTTAGTAGGGTGCACGAGAAAAAAAACATAACGTGTGATTTTGGAGGCAAATTGTGCGGGAAAATTAAAACTCCTATTGTGCGGGGAATTGTGCGGGTTTATTGACGAACCAAAGTTTTCTACATTGACGATAGTTTAGCCACATTTATTTCACTAGTAGTTCAAATATATTTATCAGTCTTAGTAATCGCCAATTCTTTTAGAAAACTGTGTCTGACTGCTTAAGAAAATCATGTTGCGTGACATGAACTAGACGAGTATGAAACCATGTTAAATAGCAAAACAGAATGCTGCATTTCCCCTTATAAATGGGTTCCTTTTTAGAAATACTCCTACCTTGATTCAATAAAAATATGTAGGTTAAATATTTAATCATAAACTGCGTTAAGGGTGGCAAATTCTCAAAGTTATCTGCAAAAAAGACAACTTGAAAGTTTATGCAAATTAAGTGCAATGCGCCTTGTCATAGGGCTATTGTTTTCGCGGAGGAGTTTATCTATTCCCCCTCCAAAGGAAATATGATTCGTGAAAAGGCTTTAAGATCGCAACACGGCAAAGATGTTTAGCTGCACAATTTACTCGGTTTGCCACGACCAGGAAACGAACTTTGTACAACTTCTGTCAGCATGTACAATGTAATCGCCAGAAGTTGTAAAAAGACCTCGAAAATTCTTTGCAAACAAGTTCTCCATAAGTGCGTAGACAACTGTGCTTCATTCTTGAACCAAAATGGTTTAAACTCACAACTTGCGATTGGATTAGGAGGATCCTCAATGAAGCAACTTGAATAGTTAATATCTAAGCGGAACTCTTGTGCAAAATATCCTGATTCTTTAATTTGTTTTTATTGTGACCAATACGCGTTTTTGTAAAGTACGATTCGATACTGCGGTTCGAAGCCCGAGTAAACGCTCTTAGAGCGTCTACAGTTTGTCAAAGCAATTGTAAAGCTTGGCTTACGAGACTAATCACTTCATCTGTATTTTAGTAATAACATTTAGAACACATTGAATAAACGAACTCAATAAACAATCATCAATTATTGTTATCATTTTTACTGTGAATTTTGTTTGTCTTTCGTTACTCATTTTTGCATCAACAATTCTGTTCTGAACGTTTGTGTCGTTTGTGGCGTTACTGATAAAAAAATATCTTTATCTCTTAGCTGGTGATCTTCTAAATTCTCATCAATTGTAACTTGAAAATGCATTGTATGGAGAAATTACTCGTTGATCACTTGTACCTGACTACAAGGCAGCGTGCGCAGATGGGAATGTGAAACTTTGTTTCCAGAGCCCGCACGTTTTCTGCCAGCGGTGACCGAACTTGCGACGCTCTTGACGAAACCAGCTACACAAAACAATCACGGGCTCTAGGAAAAAGACTGACTCTTACTTCAACCCCACGAAGAGTGTTTAAGAGCTGAAGCAAAAGACCCACATCTTTATCAACGCTAGATTTTCGTAGTCACTCACGTAACATTTTATTATCACCATCTTTCGATTCTCACTCAGTCTGAGGTCAGAAAAAGCACGCTTAGTATATCAGTCATAAGTCTTGTCGAAATCCTTGTAAAGGCGCCTCTGAATTTACCATGGAAATTGAGTCAAGACAAATACATCGACTTAGAATTACTGTTCGTTTCCGACACGATATCGATGTAATATTCCAGCTCCGTTGCTGTGGCATACTTCGGTTTTCTGTATCCATTTTGGCGTGAAAACCTCTCAGGAGACATTGTAGGTCGAAAAGCGTCGCACAAAACACGATATTGTTGCCAAGGTGGAATCATATCTTTGTCAGTTCTCTTCTGTCGCATTTGATCAGACCTTATCGACTCCGACGACTGTTTCAGGTGTGGAAACCGCGTATGAAATGGCGCTAAGTAATGTGGGCTGTGGTTAGAATCTCTATTTGTGGTGTTCCGTGGCGACGCAACGTTTCTATCGTTCTTAGCACTTTCAAAAAGCAAGGTGCGGACAGATGATTTCCGGGACATGTCGTTGGGAGTTGTCACGGGAGGCTTAGGAAAAGTGTCGCTACCCGGACTATGACAACTGCTTTGACCCTCGGCTTTTTGGTCATCGCTTGTTGCTTGTTCGAGCTTAAATGGAGGCATTTCATCGCTTTCAGTGACACTCTCTCCAACTTGAAATGATAAACGTTTTTTTGCACTGTTCACTTTTAACTCCGTAGAATTTGAAGAGCAACTTTTGAAGTCGTTCTCGCTTGAAGACGCTCTGGAATAGCCATCCTGAGGTTGGCCATTTTTGTTGGGATTTCTGTTCTTTTTGGTCCTGACTTTTTGCGACTCTTTGTGGCTTTTAACGACCAAAGTTACCTTTGTTGTTTTAGGCTTGAGTGGCATTTGAAAATGTCTGGGCTTTCCCAAACCGTAACGCCGGGTCTGTAATCTGCTCTGTTCGGTTCTGGCGGAATTTTGGCCATAAACTTCGCGTAACACTTTCTCCCTCTTTCCAGTCTCTTCGTCTGCAGAGAGGTATAGGACCTTACACCCAGAGCTCAGTTTTTCCATGTCGCTACGGTAATGGTGGAAATTCTGTATGTGTTCGTAGCAATGAGGCACCAGATTTTGAATCAACTCTTGCTGTTTCTTCCCTACCACAGGGTAAGCAATTCCATAATTGGCTTCACCATTACCAGGTATTTGTGTATCGTAGCATCTCTTCAAGTCCTCTTCGCCGATTGTCGGCTCTGAGCGAAATGAAATGGTACGAAACGCATCCTTCATTCTTTCAATAAACGATCTGTGTCTGCAATCCTCGAACTCTGCCACGTCGCGTTTCTGTGCCGAGATTGGTCCACGGTTTACTCCAAACGGGCAATCACTTTTCTTAGCGGATTTTTGAACTTTGGTTGTTAATTTTCGCCCTTGAAACGGACGCGTAGCCATTCACAATCAAGACGTATAAACGAAACACTTTACCGCTCACGTTAGCAACGAAAATATTGTTTAAATTGGTGATTGAGGCACGAGTTGATTTGATTGAGTAAACAAAGCATAATTAAATCCTATTTACAAAGCTTGTTTGACAAGGAGTACAGTAGATTAAGGGATCAAATTGTCTCTTCCGTGGCATACAACCATAGATAAAAAAACAATAGCTAGAAATCAACCATCTAACGCACCAAATTATCGATCACTATCCTTTCACTCAATTAAGCCTCGTCCACATTACGCCGGAGGAATTTGAAAACGGAGGTTTTACTCTGAAATAGCATCAGATGTTTTCCGTCCACACCGCGCCAGAGGAGTTTAAAAACGCAACAATCACCAGCCATTTTGGATTTGTGTTTGAGTAAAACGCGGGCAGGGAAATCACGTGATAATCCTCATGTCACTGTCTTCGAAAAGCTCCGTTTTCAACCGTTTTCTGTCCACACGAAAATGCAAAGCCGGCGTTTTCAATTTCCTCCGGTTTGAAGAGCGTTTTCGTAAAGCTCCGTTTTCGTGACGGATCAGTGTGGACGGTAGGCCTAACCCTTCGTTTTGAAATTTCTCCGGTGCAGTGTAGACAAGGCTGGAGAATTCGAGGCTCGAGTGAACATACCATCAAATTGGCAATCTAGAGCAATATGACAGCTAATAAGAGAGCTGATTATGAAAGGTTTTACGACTGTCTCCGGAGATTAACGAAGTCTAGAAGAGTTTACGAATCCTCAATACTTCCTGGTTCGACTGAATTCGCCGTGCGGTCGGAAAATGAGCCCGCATGACCGGACTCAAATACAGCGAATGACTCAGACCCGTAACTATCGAGCGCTCATGTCTTGATCGTAGTCACAATGTGTAATATGCGAATACTTGGCATTTACAAAACAACAAACTGTCGAGCCCTTTACATGGGCTACACATGAGGCGTAAGGACACGAGCAAGAAATCAGTGACTGATGTATAGCTCTATTTTTTTCTGTTTCAATTGGCCACGGGATCTTTCTAAAAATAAAAGATTGTTAAAGGAAACGAGAACATTTTTGCAAATAGTTAATGAATAAATGTTTAGGCCTTTATTTAGGAACGGCCCCAAAATATTGCAATTGAACACTTTACCAAGGCCCTTTCAACATTACCGAGAAGTATTAAAATTGCTAATTGTGACCGAAAGCACGCTTTAATCGAAATGAAATAAATAACCGTAAATATTGGATTACTTGGACACAGACAAATTCTGACAAAGACCTGCAAAAAAGAAGCTAAGATGATTATTTAATTTTTTTTTAGTTTCGAAAGGAACTGTTGGACTGCATTCGACAGCAGGTAACGCACTGTTCCTGCTTATCAACTAGTGTATTGTTCTCGAGGGAAAACAATTTTTTCGAACAAAGTTAACCTAATTAAGGTTTCCGACCCCTTTATTTCCCCGCGGTATACAGGAAATTTCGGTGCGAAGCCACATTTTTCCACAAACCCTCTTTGCATATTGCATTCATGCAAGTACACCACAAATATATAAGCAAGAGAGCCTCTCGGCAGGTAGGGAGAGCCTTGTTTTCTTAACAATGAAATACCGACGATCTTTACGACGTTCTTTCCACCATTGCAGCCCGCATTATTACCTGAGCCCGCAAGTAGAGCTAGTGACGCGCCGAAAGCTGCGTAGTACGTTTTTCCGCTCTGTAGACGGACTCTGGGCGGTTAAGGACCAAGCGCTGCTTGCTAGTGTAAAACATTACCTCTGACAAATAGGGTATACTCTTAAAACTGGTGACTCGCGAGTAATAATTACTATGCCTTTGAAATACACGTTACAAAAACATCTGAATTCTCCAACACAATTAAATTAACTTAATTCAAACCGTGCGTAAAAATCGCAAAATCTCCACAAATACTACGGAAATATAAGAAGACCCGTATAGATAATTTACGTCGACAACAGCGCTTTAATAGTTAATCTAAAAATTAAAAAAAAGCGAAGACTAGACTTTGTACAATTCCTGATGTTTCCCTTCATAAAATGAACAAGAACAATATCTCCCTTAGGAAAATACAAAACTAGAGAATTTATGCTAAACAAATCGTAAATACGATCCTTTTTAGTAGCAGTTAGAGTTCGTGTAGAGTGCAGGCTAAGAACAACAACAAAAAAAACCCACTTATTTACTATGAATGTTGTCTTGGCAACACTCGCGTTTCATTTGGACTATGAGTAAGTCATGTTTCTGGAGACTAAGTACAATTTATGGATTCTTTGGCGGACGTTTCTCTGGCGTACTGTTGCTTCTGTTTCTAGTATCCTGCTTTGCGTCGCCTGGTGAACCTTTACTGGTACGGGATCGGGGTCTTCTACGTCCCCGGTTGGGGGCTCCTCCTTTACTAGAATCCCCGGGTGAATTAGCGGGGTTCCCTGTTCGTGTATTCTTAACGTGGTCTTGCTTGTTTGCGTCTGGTGTTCCTTTTTTACCGCCGCTCTTCTCGCTTGTTTCCACAGTTTTAGGCAACTGACGTGGCGTGGACTCGGCGCCACCATGAGCTCCTTGCGCGTCACCTTGGCTGCCTTCAGGACGCTCAGCTCTAGGATTTTTAGGCGAAGCCTTCGGAGCGTCACCTGCGAAGTCGTCGTTACCTTTCGGATGACGACTTCGTGTAGGGGTGTTTTTGCTTTTAGTTGGGTTACCAACTGAGGCCTTCTCCTGCTTCTCTGGAGTTCTATCAGCATTCGGAACGTCACCTTTGAAGTCGTCATAACCTTTCGGATGACGACTTCGCGTGGGAGTGTTCNTTGCTTTTAGTTGGGTTAGCAACTGAGGCCTTCTCCTGCTTCTCTGGAGTTCTATCAGCATTCGGAACGTCACCTTTGAAGTCGTCATAACCTTTCGGATGACGACTTCGCGTGGGAGTGTTCGTGCCTTTAGTTGCGTTAGCAGCTGAGGACTTCTCCTGCTTCTCTGGAGTTCTATCAGCATTCGGAACGTCACCTTTGAAGTCGTCATAACCTTTCGGATGACGACTTCGCGTGGGAGTGTTCTTGCCTTTAGTTGCGTTAGCAGCTGAGGACTTCTCCTGCTTCTCTGGGGTTCTATCAGCATTCGGGACGTCACCTTTGAAGTCATCAGAACCTTTCTGATGGTGACTTCGTGTGGGAGTGTTCTTCCCTTGAGTTGCGTTACCAGCTGAGGACTTCTGCTTCTCTGGGGTTCTATTGGCATTCTCGTTGTGTCTGGGGCCAGGGCCGTTGGGTTTTCTGCCTCGACCACCACGCCTAGTAGGCTTTTTCCTTGGGGCTTCTTCAGACGCCATCGACGCTTTCGCATCAGATGGTGGTCGTTGTTCGCTTTTCTGTGAGTGTTCTTGGTCACTTTTACCGGATTGGTCTTCCAATTTCTCCTCAGAAGCCACTGGTACGCTATAGGGAGTCCGTTTTTCCTTGCTGACGGTTTCAGAGGACATTACACTGCTGTCTTCAGTCAACGAAGCTGTATTGTTCGGTGCTTCTCCTTCAGATTCATCTAGTTCATCTTGAGTCATCCGCACTACTTCAGTGCTATCGTTTTCGTTTACCCAAGCTTCTCTCTTTTCAGGTAATTTTGCATCAGGAACAGAATGTCCTATAGAACCTTTCCCCTCGAGGTTGGCATCCTCGGTGGGATCTAATTCCTCGCTTGTTTCTGGATTTGGGAACTCATGGGTGTTACCCCCTTCCCAAAGGCTCTTCACCTTGCTCAGTTTGGATAGCAGCTTGTGTTCTTCAGGAGTCTTGGCAACTTTCAAACTCTTTGGAGTAATGTGCAATTCTTTTGACTACCGTAAAATGACAAACACATGACATTAGAAATAGGAAGTAAAAACATTGATAGGTACGTAATGAAATTACTGTCAATTAGAGAATAATAATCACACAACAGTGAAGCAAATGCTGCTTTTACCTACATAGTACAATGTTGCAAGCTGAAGAAGAGGAATCCTACGTGGAGGGGACTGGACTAGCGGGCTATTTTCACGTTTTTACAAAATTCAAGTTTACTTTCATACTTTTTCAGGCTACTTTTCCTTTTTCCAAACCCAATGTATTGATTGAAAAATATATTTTCAGAAAAGACATTTACCTAGCTTGCACAGAATTTACTTTAAAAAGTATCCGCTTTCACCTGAACATTTTCGTAAAGAATACTAAAACCGGCGTCCGTCCATATAGAGCATAATAATAATAGAAAAGAAGTTTGAAGCCAAAGGTCAGCCGTATGATAGAGTAGAGAATAGGAAACAACCTAAAGGAGCTTGGTCACGGTTTGCGCATCTTGAAAAGTTAAACCTACATTTTTCAAGTTCGTCGTTTGTAATCCGTGTTTATCTTCTCCATCCTTAAACATCCTTGTTTCTTTATGGTTTACTGTTATCCCTTTGGTATTTTTCTATCTTAGTAACCTGCTATTTCAGGCTTCTTTAAATTAAAAGTAGTTTTATACGTGGCCAAAATAATTCAAACACCGTAACTGAGCTCCTTTAAAAGAATGTCGATGAGGACATACCTCAGACTCTTTATTTGAAGACAATTTCGTTGGAAGACCTTCCTCTTTCTTCGATTCTTCTTCAACTGCCCGCATAAAGCTGAAGAACTGCTCTCCTGTCTAAACACCCAGCACACCACATTAGCCATACAGTCCTTCACAGTTAACAAAATGCCGGCAAAAAATGCTGAACGAACGAACAGTTACAGACGATATAGTTACTGTACCACAGAAACAACTGGGCTACCTAACATTGAGATCTTTTCAAGAGGACTGGTACAGATAAGTGACTAAACATTTAGCCTCACAAAGAATATACCAATGCCCCAAAGGCCGTCCAATGCTCTCCGTAACGGGCAATAGCTCGTTGCAATAATTAGAATGGAAACCAAGGAAAATATAAGACTAGTATCTAACTGCCTCGTAAATCAAAACGTCAAGGACAATACGCCAATGCTCTACAAAAACGTTAACAGCCTAGCATTCATGGTAAGCCTACATGTATGCTTCTACAACAAGGCATCTGACCTAACGACTGTCTTCACGTCTACATCTCGTCTACAGACAACAACCAAACAATTACTAGTGGTAAAACCAGTATGGCCAATATGGTGGACTGACCATGTGGGTTCCAAGGACAGGTGGTAAGATGGCTCCTTGGTGTGGAAGCTGGGGCATCTGCTGGGGTGAACCAACTGGAGGTCCTGGAGGGGTACCATGAGGAATCTGAGTCTGCTGCGGCACCACACAAGGAGAACTGTTGCCAGGGAACGGAGGATGATGTCCCGGAAGACGAAAGTGCTGCTCTATGATAATGGCTGGGTCAGGGTAACTGCCCAAATTATGATACGGGCTGTTTGGGGGCAACGGCCACATGACACTTCTGGAAATGTTTGGAGGACTCTGGGGAAGCATCTGGTGATTGTGCTCTGCGAGACGTTGGTGTCCACGTAGTGGGGAACCTTGAAGATCAACAGGCAAACTTTCCGAGGGACCTCTCCACTGCTGCTGCGGCTGCAAGTGATGGAGTTCAGGTGACAGAGGATAAGGAACGAGTGGCCTGACAGGAGGGGAAAGTGGACTCGGCATCATTCCACCTTGTTGCCGGAGCCACAGGTCGCGTTGAATTGGAGAACCCACCAACTGGCCACTGGGGCTGGCCATGCCCGGTGGGTGCTGTGGTGGAGTGCCAAGGACAATGGGATGACCTTGGAACATACCAACTGGCGACATGTTCAAAGGAGGAGACTGTGGAATGTTTCCCGCCATCAGAGGTGGTGGTCCTTCACTAGATATACGAGATACCTGAGGAGTGCCATCAGGAGTGTGGAACCCAGGAGGCAATCCAGGAGGTGGTTTCACGCCTCCTGCATGAGAGGCTTGCACTGTTGCTGTTTCAACTGTCCCAACGGCTGTTCCAATACCACTGTTCACAGGGCTTGGCAAGTGCACAAGTGGTCTAACACCTGATGGCTCAGTGACAACATCACCACATGAAGCAATCATATTCATTACACCAATTTCATTCTTAACAACAGAGGTTGAAGAGGCTTGTATGGACTGCCACTGCGTATTTTTTGTATCTTGCATTGTCTCGCGACTTCCAGAAACTACATTCTCACTGGTCACAACCGTCTGAAGATTTTGGCCAGGTAATTGTGCATGAGGTATCTCAGGTTGAACTCTTTCACGGCCATTTTCTGCAACGTCTTCAATTTCGCTGCCCTGGTTTGTTTTCAAAGGAGATGCATCAACTTGCGAGTCTGGTTGAGATCTAGATAAGTGATTCGAGACATTCGGTTCTTGGCGAGATGGAATTTTCTTAGGCTGCGCTGTTGACAGAGGCGTACCTCGATCAGCATTTCTGTCCTGTCCCTGTTTGTTCGGGGAAGACGCTGACCTTGGACGTGCACTGAAAGGCTTCTGGGTCATTCCCTCTGGTTCCTTTCCCAATCGGCGTTCTTCTTCCTCCTTCTTTTGTTCAGCTCTTCGGTTGGCCTTGGAATGTGGACAATCTTTCGCCATGTGCCCTATCTTGCCACAAACACGACAATTCCTGTCGGTCGGAGCCTCGTAGCCATCTGTGAGGTAATACACATCAAAGAAGAACCTCTGTAAGTGTTCCGCTAGTATGTCGTATCGTGGAAATCCGAACCTTTCGCGTCCTCTAATGAAGGTCGTCAAAATGTAACTGGCCATTTTCCTTGTCACGCCAGCACCCAAGTTGTGGTCAAGATTAAATGGGTCTGCGGAAATCAATTATGTAAAGACTAAGTGAAGTAATTCTTTTAGAACGTAAAGTAAATGTACAGTTGAAAGGCTGAGTGCAGAAAAGTCCTGCCTGCATTTTAAACCACAGGTAGTTTGCCTTTACTGTTCTTTTTTAAAAACAACAATGGAACATATCATCTCCCAAAACATGACGCATTTTTTGATTTAGTAATATTAACAGTGTACAAGCTCAAATTCTTCCATAGCAACGGTAACCTAAAAATAAAGATAGGACCTTTCTTCACTCGGCCCTTCAATGACACAATAAATATACTTGTATAGAGTGCTCAGAATAGAGAATAAATTCTTACAATATTAACGCGGATGCTTTATATTTTGTTCTTACTTTAATAATCTAGTTGAAGTGATCTTAGAATATTTGCCCTTAAAATAACTTCCTCACATCTTTTGAAAATGACTAACATTCACCAACGCGACAGATCATTACAAAAATAAAATTAGTGGACAGAAAATTTCTTCGATAGATGGCAGCATGTTTTTCTCTCAAACTTGAGCAGGGATTATGAGGCGAGACGCTTCAGCCCAAAAGGGGATTGGGACGGAACACGGGCGCGGCCGTCTCGCCTTATTCCCTACTCGGTCATACCGCCCTTTTAGGTTTGCGATGGCTCAACCCTTGTCTAAGTAACCCTTAGGCTGCTGCCAGTCTATTAGAGATATTGGAGACAGCAAGTAGCAAACCCTAACCTTCGATAGCAAATACATGCTTGGTCCACATCTTTTCAAATTTCGTCAGCTTCTTTGTTCTTCTACAACATACTACGTCATGCTCAAAGTCAAACTCTTCCGTGTAATACCTCAAAAAGCCATACCACAGAAGTCCTGCATTGGAGGGATTCTTTTCTTTTGGATTCCAAATGCTTTGCTACAAAAGAAGAAAAAGTTATCATTGAGAAACACCGCACCGGTAAATTCCTTTATTAGACCTCTGAGGTTATTACATTTTTGTTCACGCTTTACTGCGGTGCAACTCCCTCACCCCCCTGCCCCCTCCCCCCAGGGTCGTTCGTAAACTTGTTTACACGCCAAAGCAAAAAGCCAGAAAGATGCGCTTGAGTGCGAAATCCAAACACTAGAGCCTGCTCACAGGTTAATTGTAGGGTGGTGGAGGAGGAGTCAGAATCTTTGTTTTTAAAGAATTAGCTTTTCAAAACTGGTTGAATTTCTACACAATACTTTGAAGTGATTCCTGAAAATTTAAAGCGGACATAACAGTACTACATGGTTATTGATTTGCCACCAAGAGCTAAAACCCTCAACATGAAGAAGTAACTATGAAAAAGCGAAACAGGAGATACAGTTGTCAAAAGAAAGAGCAGTTACGTAATAATAAATGACAAAATACAAAACAAGCTCCGTCTACAGTAAAACGTTGTTCAGGCAAGGAACGAAGAACAGGCTCGAGAGAGCAGTGGAAATGGAGCCCCTGCTTTATTTGGGGGTGGACGAGTTTCTCAAGGTAAATATACTTGAAAAGTGCTATTGACTGTTGCAGCATTCTCGCAATGAATTACTGTGAAAACTGAACATTGTGCAATGTTAAGCGCAACAACAACAAAAAAAACGTTCGAGACATATTCATTTTGTGGTGTTTTGTACAGGGTCTGTCACCCTGCGTTATTAATTTATCCATGCAGCTTCTTGCACGAGTTTGTCACGACACAATATAGCCCTTTTCACGGTAAACGTTTCTGAGGCAATTTCAGGCTATGTTGTAGTTTCTGCCCGAAACTAACTGGCATCCACGTTGGATTACATTGTAACGCAGATGAGACAAATTAGCCGTGAAAAGGGCTACACTGTTGTATTGTCTGACAATTGTATCGCGACAAACTCGTGAAAGAAACTGTATGATGCGTGACAGCCCCTAACAGTTTTCTCTATTACCTCACTGTTCCAAACATCTGAAGCTTTTAGACCAAGGTGTTATGCCTTACTCACTTCCCACCTCCTACCCCCTCTCCCCTTCTACCCTATAACAATAAATAACTAGGGCTCTACCACATACAATTTTCTTCAGGTCACTTAGGAACCAGCAGTTCCATCCATCCACAATCTTCTCAGGTGGCTTGCTATCAGTGTACAGGGACTGCAGCACTGGAATGACTGGAGGTTTGCACTGCTGCAGGTAGTGAAGCATCATGAGAATGTATGCATAAGATGACAAGCTGCCCTTGGAAGCGTCTCCAATGTCACACACCTAATCATAAAATATGACCAAATATGACGTGTTACATACGCGTTTAACGTCTCGTGTCACATACGTGTTACGATGGGTTTGGTGTTATTGTATCTTTGCCGACCTGGGGGGAGCTATTCAAGAGCGCAAATGCCAGGGAGAGACTCCACACATAGACTCCACGCTGTTTATTTTTTTGGAATATTTACACCCCTAAATATCTTGAATAAAACATGAAGGAAAACCTTTGTTACAGCCTTGTGAATCCAACCCAGCAGTTAACCCAATTTCTGTTACATACAGAGGTTGGCAGTTGTTGCGAGCCCCTCAGGATTAGATGCTAATGTTTGCCGCAGGATTCCCCACTCCCTCCCCCTGCCCCAGCCAATAGGAGAGACACTGTGAGAGTACAGTGAAACAGTCTATCACCCTTAATGCTTACCATTAGCTCCCACTCAGAAACCAAAATTGGTGCATTTCTTTAAGCGTGGTTTTCACTAGCGACCCAAGCACAAGCGCAAACACAATAATTCTTATTTCACCGTGAAAACGGCCTTGACGCAGGCATAAGCACAAGCGCAAGCACAAGCACAAGGATCAAAATTTTTCCTTTTTCTTGCGCTTGCGCTTATGCTTGCGTTTGCGCTGCAACAAGTGAAAACGAAATACCGCTCAGGCATGACACAAGCACAAGGATATTTACCACACGTGGTTATGTTTGGCCAATGAAAACACTGGATCCAGATTACCTCGCGCCTAAACAGTATGGAAGGTTCGGATGATTTTGCTTACGCTTGTGTTTGCGTCGAATTTCGTTTTCACTTGGGTCATCCCTATTGCTTGCGCTTGTGCTTTCGTCGCTAGTGAAAACCAGGCTTTAGTTTTGGTTCTTGAGACTCATTCAGTTCTTACTGTTGTAACTCGTGTGCTCCCCTCACTTAAACCTACCTTAGCAAACACCTTAACAGCATAACCTAAAGTTGCAACACGATCATCCAGTTTAGCGTATGTAGCAAGCATCTTGGTGTTCTCTAACGCAAGTGTGTTGTAAAGGCTTATATCAGCCTCGCGTTTACAACTGCGAAGATAGAACTTCACAATGGGAACTTTAGCTGTTGTTATGGCCAGCACATTGCCGCAGTCTTTGTGTTTTTTCAGCAGCTTGGAAAGTCCGATAATCACGTCAACACAATCCACCTCCTCTTTGACTTGATTTTCTAAGGTCATGCAGATGTCAATGTCGCTGTTTCGGAAACCAAAGCCATTCTTGGATGAGCCAAATAAGAAGAGTCTTGCATCTACAAACGAGATGACACAAATATTAGTAATTAAAATTACAGGGCACTCGTTAAAATAGTTTGAAGGCTGGAGGCATGGGAGTCTAGTCACTAATAAAACCGGTTTTAAAGATTTCTTATTATTATTATGATATATGTTACTGACACTGTCAGTTAGTCGGACCACTTCACTACCATTCCCCAAACATTTGAGAGGTCAGACTGCATACCAGAATCTTGCACTACGAGAGAAAAGATTGGTTCGGACGGAAGGAAGGAAGGGGGGGGGGTGAACATAGAGCAGAGCACCCTTTGTGCTGAGAATCCCATCTCTGAAAACTAACTGAGCTCAGAGCTCTCAACGCATGTATGCACTGACATTGAGACATGCGCTAGACTATAGATTTGGTCCATACTCGATGACCATGAGCTAGTGTAAATCTTTTTCGTCTGGCCTTCTCTCTCAGACAATAAACTCATAATTATTGCATGACTATATTTTGTATGTACATGCAAATGTGCAAGTAAAAGGAATTCAACGGTAGCTTTATCTAGAGTCAATTATTTCTTTATGAAAAAAGGCACATGAAGTGCAGAACTCTATCTCATAATGTATACTCTATCTCATAATGTATAGTGCACAACTCTCTCGTAAAATATACGGTCATGCCATGCCATGCCCTATGGCCGTGCCATAACATACCTGGAAATATCTGGCGGATGTAGCCTTCTAAATTCTTCAACACTTTCTCTCTGTATGAAACTTCTGATTTCTCAAACTCAAAATCAGCTGAAAGACAAAAAAGAGCGTTATTGCACCTCTCAGCGACGTAAACTCTGAGTAAATGGTTGTGTTTTTCGTTTCAGTCAGTCATCTTCGATAACCACTCAGGAACAGAAGTTTACTTCAACAGGTTCACAACGACACGTCTTTGGATTATGATTGGCAGATTTCAATCCAGTTTGTTTGTCTCTGTTACTTTTCTCACCAAGGTTCCTTGATTGTCGTAATTACGATTGGCAACAGCAAAAAAAAAACAAAAAAACAAAAAAAAAACGCAGTTGTTAGTTAGGTTCTGTTTATAAAGAAAATTCCATCAGCACAATTTAGTGATAATAGTTTTGCGATTTTCCAGTGCATGCACAGGGCTTCGGCTTTACATAGCTTTTACTATGCCTTTTTTAATTATGACGCTTATTACGCTGTATGTAAGTTTCACATGACGATAGGGCAGCCATATTGGTAGACGTCGGCCATGTTGTTGTACCAAACCAATCCAGTGAGAATTGAACTCTTTCCTTAGCTAAAGTTTTCTTTTGTTCCAATAAATTGTCATTGCTTCTGGCCATGTGAGTAAAAACGTTATATATCATTCAGGCAGCGTCCACATTAGGCCGCAGAAATATGAAAACGCAGCTTTATTTCTACGGTTAGACCTACCATCCACACTAATCCGTCACGAAAACGGAGCTTTTCGAAAACGCTCTTCGAACTGGAGGAATTTGAAAACGCCGGCTTTGCGTTTTCGTGCGGAGGGAGTGTTTTGAAAACGACGTAGCCACGATAATCATGTGATTTTTCTGACCGAGTTTTCCTCAAACACAAATCCAAAATAACCGTTTTTTTTTTTTTAAATTCCTCCGGCGTAGTGTGGACGGAAAACATTTGATGCGTTTTCAGAGTGAAACCTCCGTTTTNAATCATGTGATTTTTCTGACCGAGTTTTCCTCAAACACAAATCCAAAATAACCGTTTTTTTTTTTTTAAATTCCTCCGGCGTAGTGTGGACGGAAAACATTTGATGCGTTTTCAGAGTGAAACCTCCGTTTTCAAAATTCCTCCAGAGTAGTGAGGACGCTGCCTCAGACGGTATACAGAAGCGCACCCACCTCTACACTTCTTGCAAACAAAATCCAACACTGCACTGAATTGAGGAGTCATTGGTGGCAGCCTAGTCAGTGTTGGCTTCCTTAGATCTGGACACTGCTCCTTGACGTGCCCATCCTCCTTACAGAAACAGCACGTCTTAACAGGTTGTTTGTTTCCTGTAAACACTTCAACATCAAATCTGTACTCAACATTTTGTTGAGTAGCAGCTGCGTCGCTGTTTACATCTTTGGAACTACTGCTTTCACCTCCAGAATCCCCAGATGCTGTTTGTTTAACTTTAAATTCACTGGCATCTTCACCATCGGCTGCAGTTAAGTTCCCCTCGACTTCATTGTCTGCGTCAATTTGATCCTTACTCTTCAAGCTTGGAGAATCTTGTGTAGTTTGTCCTTGAGAGGCACTGCCATCTTCACAATTATTGCTGGAGAGATCTAGAGTCTCCATTTGTTTTGTTGTAGGGTCTAAGTCATCGATTTCAAAAATAGCCTCTTCATTGGTTACCCGTTTATCTTCCTGTTTCTTAGTTTTTCCTGTTTTATTGTCATTCTTCTTGTGCGTCAGGTTTGATTTGACATTTTTTATCTCTGCGACTGGTCCTAAAAAACAAAAAAAAAATGAACACTAACCACTGCTAACTAGTCACAGATCGGTAAAATAGTTGTATTTCTGCAGGCCTCTTTGGCTTGTGGAAAACAGTTATTCTCACAGTATTTGATTGACATTGAACCTGGCAAAGTTGTGCATACGGTAGTTGTCACTTGCGATTGCAAATGTGAACGCTGAACACATTGCGAATGAAAAGAGGTAGTTATCTCAAGTTTACTCAATAAAACCCCTTCAATAAAAACAGTTTTAAGAGTTTCATTTCCAGATCTTGTAAGCTGTAGTGAGACATGCCAGAAAACAAATACTATACCAAAGACCGACGACTGGAAAATTTAGCTAGTTCAATTCTCCAATAACTGTTTAGGCTACAAAATCTGACATGTAACGAGCCTATTGGCCAGTATATTAAAAAGTCAATCTCAAGCCCTGTACAACCAAGATGTTAAAATTCCTCATTCATCTTGAAAGCAAGGAGGTAACATAGCTGTAGTGCGGGCCATGGAAAAACAAAAATGCTCTTAGAGGACAAATTGCACTGCATAGAATGTTGTTCCACTTACCATTCTGTGCCGCATTAGGCAAGGAACCAAAATACAGAAAACTGTTTATCCAGCAAGAATAGAAATAGTCATACGCTGAAGATAAATGGACAGCAGTTCCAAATTAGTGATATCCACTAATAAATTACGGAGCCACGAATTCACCGTTTGTGCATCTTGAAAAGTTTAGCCTCAATTTTGAATTTTTCAAGTTTGTTCTTTCCTTTGCAACCTGCGTTAATCTTCTCCATCCTTAACCATCCTTGTTCCTTTATGGTCTCCTTTATGTCTCTTTGTTGTTTTTCTATCTTAGTTAACCACTACTTTCAGATTACCTTCAATTTAAAGGTAATTTTGTAAACGGCAAAAATGACTCAAAATGCGATTTCAAATCCTCGCAACGTTAAACTTCTTTCGTTTCCCTTGAGAGTTTTATACACCTTTGAACTGTGTATGAATTCAAATAAAATACTGGGCAATATGGTTTTGTTATTTCACACCGTATCGGTAGTGAACATAAAACAGACTGGTAGCTAAAGCAAGTTGGATGAACACAATCCCAACGATCAATAATAATCATAATATAACATACCTGCGTCACTACTTAGTGAAGAAGCAACATTCCGTTTGGAAGAGAAGGGATCTGCAGAGTGACAATTTACATGCGAATATACGAAATGTATAAATTAAAAGGAAATCTTGAATCACATAGAGCTTTTTATAGATAAGGTAAAAGCCTTCAAGGTAAAGTCATACAAGCCAAGTGGCCCATCAGGCTGGAGCTTATCCTGGTTTCGGCAGCATGAAGTGACTAGGTGTATTTCCTCTCCCCCCTGGATGGGATGCTAGTCCATCGTAGGGTTACACCCAGCATTAAATTTGCAGGTACCCATATGCAGGGCCGTCATTAAGGGCCGTAACCTGTAACACCTGTTACAGTTGAGTATCCTTCATTTTCCCTTGGAGCTATGGGTAAAATTGCCTTTTGCAGATAGAATTCACCCACAAAGTAACAAGTTTGCTGCATGTGTGGAGAACAAGGCTACAAGCAGTGACTCAAAACTTAATAACAGCCTCGATTTGTACACCTGGGTGGAAAGAGGTACTGTGAGAGTAAAGTGTCTTGCCCAAGAACACAACAGAATGTCCCCAGTCAAGCCTCAAACCTGGACTGCCAAGATGTTACCTTGGATTAGAAGACAGTGACATTGGAAAACATAAAGAAGAGGTCCAGAGTTGGCAAATATCACTGCCTGCTGACTGAAAAGGGAAGGGGAGTGATCAATGATCTCACCTTCAACTGCTATTCGGCGGTGGCCCCATTTCTTCTTCTCCCGTGAAACAGGCATTGGGTCTTTGATGGAAATCACGAAGTTTGGAATATCAAAGTCAACACAGTAAAACCTGGGGGAAAATCCACTTAAATTTGAGGACATTCTTACTTCGGAACAAAGCCTTCAACAGTGATGCGACAAAAAATTAAAAAATTCAATTTAGCATGTAAGACGCTTTCATGAACATGTAATATACTTTTAACATGAACATGTTGATCGGTGGAGGGTGCCTATTATTGTAACTTACAGATATACGTCCACACTGGGAAAAACTGTACCCTGGTCTTGAGTATGGCCAGAGGCCGCACATACTCAAGACCTTGGACACAGTTTTCCCAACACAGATCGACCAAGGCTGTGTTTTTCTCAACAGTACATCTTTGAAAGCAACTTTTGTGTTGAATTTTATTTAAAGCCGTTCAGTACAAATTTGGCGTATGCCCGTGTTTGACATTTTGAGCACAAAAATACGGTTTCAATAAATTAATTGCTTCACTCTGTCTTGAATGTTTACATTTTACGTTGTTTTACGGTGTAACAAAAAGCTTGAAAAGTTGCTTAAGTTGCACATTACGGAGTTGCCTGCACTTAGGGTTTGGATGGAAAAATCAGGACTGCTAAAGAGCACCGATCGGCCAATCAGATTCAAGGATTTAGGACTTTGGACTGCTGAGAAGCTAGAGAGCATTTAAACCTCTGCTTACCTAAAGAGCTGAAACCACAAACTCCCACTCGCCTCCTTATTAACACCGACAAAGTATTTTAAAGCATCTGGACAGTCCTTTTCAATAGCCTGGTGAGATGTAATTAGGCTCATTAGCAAACATCAATATTATTATTAGTAAACATTAAAAAATTAAACTCCAATGCTTCCAAATGCAACAAAAGATGTTCAGTACTCTCTTTGTACTGGAGACGTTTCAGAAACAGTTTGAGTGATCAAAAGACATTTTCTCCTTGTAGCATCAGTTTGTCAATAAGGCAAGTTACGAGAATTAAAGAAAACAATCAGATATGGGAGTCTGATAAACAACTACTACACATAAGATCTGCATGCATATCAATGTTAAGCACTTAACAGGGCTGTCAATGAGGGCCGCAACCCGGAATACATGTTACAGCTATGCTTGATTTTCCCTTGATGATATGGGTGAAATTGCCTTTTGTTGATAGAATTCACCCATAAAGTAACCAATTTGCTACTGGTGTGGAGAATAAGGCTACAGGTGACTAAAGACTTAATGACAGCCCTGCTTAATGATCGCTCCAAGGAGAAACATAAAATGATTAATATTTTGTTTTGTTTCCTAAGAATCTTTAAGATTCCCAAACTTATAAGATTGGACCAAGTACTGTACCTGGACATTACATGCCATTATTTTTACTTTAAATGTACTCACTCTCAGGCAGTGTAAACTTGCAAACATGCTTACTTCAATTGGCTCCAATCTCGGCAGAACAGGAGGTTTTAGCTCCTGAAGGAACTGAATCACCATCAGAGCCAGTGAGTACCCTGGCAGACCTCCCTCGGATTGACAATCAATGTTACAAATCTAACATAGAAACAAGATAACATTTCACAATGTTTCAACAATGTTGCCAATCATTTGAAAGTCACTTCAAAAATTTGTAAATAAACAATCAAACACAAATGATGGGGAAACAATAGACCCTTTTCATAAATGGCTGCCAATTATAAATTCTTTTGTAAGTATTAAAATTAGCCTGATTAACCTCGTTTTTGAGTAGATAATTCAAAAGAATTTTTACTCCCAAATGAGTTTAGTGAGGCTAATTTAAAGGCATACAAAAGAATTTTAAATTGGCAGCCATTTATGAAAA